TGTATGTACGTATGTAATGTAATGTAATGTAATGTAGTGTATGTATGTATGTATGTATGTATGTATGTATGTATGTATGTAATCCATGTATGTATGTATGCATGTATGTATGTATGTATGTATGTATGTATGTAATCCATGTATGTAATCCATGTATGTAATCCATGTATGTATGTATGTATGTATGCATGCATGTATGTATGTATGTATGTATGTACGTATGTATACGCTTATTTGGTTCAGCCAACCCTAGACACTAAACCCGAAAATGGATACTGCGCAGGTGATGATATATGCTGTGGCTGACGCGCCTACCGGCCATTCCGCACTCCAGCCCATTTTTGCCCGGCTAGTGGGGTTCGGCGCAAGGCCCATCCCTTACTTCTTGGTGCTTAGGTCAGACTGGCAGAGTGGATCCCTCGAACTACCCCTAAGTCTTCCCCCGCAACTAGCAAAAAACCCTAAACTGTGAGCTCTAAGCAATATTCCCTTCCCCACCCTCCCCTAAGTTAAACACCAGCAAGCTAAGGCCTGAATACCCTTAACCGTAAACCCTTAGACCCCTAAACCCAAATTCTTGCCTTGTGGTGAGCGCTGGCTTGGCTTTTTTGAGGGTTTGGTGGTCGTAGGTAGAACGTTTTTGATTTAAGGTTTAGGGCGCGGGTACGTTTGGGAGAGACCGTTCATTGGACCCCTTCCTCAGCTTGCCAGGCCCTGAGCAAGAAACTGAAGATCCCTAAGCCCTTAACCCTTCAAACCCTATACACCCTAAAAACCCTATAAACCCTGTAAGCCCTATAAACTCCATAAACCCTAAAGCCTATAAGCCCTGAACCCGGAACTTCAACTCTCATCAGATCCTCATCTCGCCGAGGCGTCGCCCAGCCTTTTTGCCAACGACCTACACATCTGATTTCGGCAATTCGTCAGAAGTAGGGTCCCCTGATGAGGAGGCATTTTTCAAACCATTTGCTTTAGAGTTTAGGGCCCAGAGTTTAGGGCTTTTCGGACCCAACAACATCAAAGGCTCTGAGGGTCCGTTTTTCCGATTCTTCTTTTTGTGGACAAGACCTCCGGGGACTCGTTTTGGCGAACAGCCACATGCTTGCTGCCGTCAGGATACCAGTCGGGGAAGTGATGTGTGCATTTTCTTGGTATGCCCCTAAACCCTAAACCCTATACCCTCCTTCTATACCCAAATTTATTAGAGTCAACCTAAACCCTAAACACCTAAACCCGTAAACCCGAAACCCCGGAATCTGAGGGTTTAGGCTTTACCCTAAACTATAGTCATAATGACAGGTACCCCTAAAGCGGGGCCGATAAATCATTTGAGGTACGCTATACTATATACAAGGAATCGAGGACAACAATTATTTCGGCTTCTACACTACCTTACTTAGTTGGCACCAGACAGCACTCCCAACTATTCTCAGAATCGTAGCAGGAAATATGAACAATAATCCTTGGAATTGTAATTATAACCAGCCCTAAACCCCTAAATTAGAAGCCCCTAAACCCCTAAGCCGCTGAGCCCCAAAGCATAACCCCAGGAAACCTAATCCCTAGAACTCAAAACCCTAAACGCCATCCTGAGCCCCACAGTCTGCATGAAAAAGCTATCGGGGCAACCGCCCTGAAACCCCAAACCCTAACCCTGAAGGCTTTAAGGTTAAGGGTTAAGGGTCTAGGGTAGGCCCTAACCCTACAAGTCCAAAGTATACAAGGAGCATATACTCTTCGAAGTCTAAATAACGCCTCCTAGCACAAGAATCCCAGGGTACATGGTTTTTATATACTGGACCCTTAGGGAAACCCTCAATGCAACCTTCTAGTCCCATACATGATGTCATGGAAAGATTCTATGGGCGGGGGTTTATCATGATTTTTGCCGAGACTACATAGAGTCCTAATTCCAAGGACGAATGGTGGGTTTGTATATGGGCGGCTGTCCATTGGGGGAGACTAAACATGAGAAAACATGGGTGTAGGGAAGCCCGAAACTCTAAACCCAAAACCTGATGTGAAAGTGCTTTATTTTGCCTAATTGTAATTGATGCCACGCGGTTTAGGGTGTAGGGTATACTTACAAGTGGGAAGATACGTAAAAGATTGTCTGTAGCTACAACCTTTTCAGAGCACTGATGACCCTACTTCTGGCCGCCAGTGAGGCTCCACATATAGCAAGTCATTCTAGACCTAAACATTATACCCTAAACTATAGAGCCTAAGCCCGATGATAACGTTTAGTATGTGTAGCTTTTCCAACAGCCGTTCATACACCCTTTCAGCCAGAGGCCCATGAATTGGGAGTACCCCTAAGCCCCTAATTATTCTGGTTCATTTGCCCTAGACCTCGGGGCGATCCCTCTGCTTGTCATTTACACGTACTTTGGGCCCCAAGTCCAAAATCTCCATGTTTTTCATGAGTATTGAGAGTTCGTGGGGGAATTCTGGCGGTGATCTACAGTACTTGGACCATTCGCAGTCTCATTGCCGCGAAGCGACTGGGGCGAAGAACACGCGCGCAAGAACAAAGGTTTATGGTTTGAGGCGGGTTGAGACACTTTGCCAGCATTCTTTTCAGTCTGCTTTGAAAGATTGGATGCCCATATTCTGAGATTTGAATGTAATTCTCCTCGTGTTGCTAGGGCAGTTTAGCACCAGTCGAGGAAAAGGCATATTATGGGGCCCCTACGGTATGGGGTCATTCAAGTACTATAGATGCAACAGCACACCCTAAACACTAAACCCGCAACCTTAAACCCTAAACC